GCGAATCGTGGTCCTCACTACATTCTCTCTCTACAGTCGTATCTGTTTTCATATCTGTGTTTTAAGACTGAGGACTGACAGTATCAATTAGATTTCCCCTTCAAAACAATTCTCTCAAGTCCCTTCTAAAACGCAAACCAGTCCACTCTTGCCTTGTAATCTCTTGTGAAAGAAGTTCACTTGTAAACTTTTATCAAGCCTCTCCATTAGCTGAAGCATTCAGTGGTGATAAACTTGCAGAGATCTACAGCAATCTGCAGGAATGCATTGATACTGTGGCAGAACGGCGTGTCGCTGCTTACCGTGGATTTGTTACTCAGGTGAGAGAGATGTTAATTGGAATATAATTGGTAGGCAAGTATTGATCATTACCGATTCATCTAATTGTTCTATAGAAATCAGGTTTTTTGAAAACAGTATTGCATCATAATAGTATGCAGCATAGGATTCTTCCGAGTACAGAGATTTAATAAACGCTGTTAAACAAAAAATAGACACTCTTCCACCTCTGCCTTTGTTAGTAATCAGTACTTTTATGCATTTTTGACAGAAGCAGAACATAAAACCATCACCTTTGTTACTTACAAGTAATCTTAGCAATGTCATCGTATTGTCTGGTAAATGGTTTGACACTAAAAGCACTAAGGGACAAAATTAAGTTTGCCTTCAATGATGTGGTAACCATCGGCGCAATTGCAGTGCGCCCAAGAAAAGCAACTGTTCTGATACCAAATAAAGCATTGCAGCTTGCAAGGAAAGTGACAGCTGCTAACAGCAGACAGACGGAGTGAAGTGATCAACAGACATGCTGTTACAACCAGACATATAAAATAAACATACAAACATTTTGTGTTTAATACACTAGTACGCAGAGTGTTCCCCCAAGGGAGGTGACAGTTTTGCTATTTAGGCCATTGTACCAGTGCACGTGAAGCTACCTGCTCTGTAACGCTGTGTCTTCATTGCGTCTTTCTAAAAGACTGTGGAACAATTACCTAATTTGAATAGGGATTTTTAATTTGGGGAAGAGGGTTTTTTTTGCATTTTGGTAGGGTTTTGAGGTTTGGTTTTGTTTGGGGTTTTTTTTACACATGGGATGATAGCGATTGCAGAAGTATGTAATAAACCAGAGAGCTAGAACTCATGTTGAGGAGCTTCTGCTGCCCTACACCCGTTTGATTGTATTAACCTTCTCGGTGACTGGACTGGTGAACTTAGAACTCTGATAGCAGCAAAGGTGATAACTGCAAGTGAAAGAGTTAAGAACCATTTGGTGTGCTCAGTTGCTCAGGTGGTGGACTGCAATTAAATCAGTGCAGCTGTAGGTTCCCCCACAGAAGAGACCTCTCTTTATTTGGGGAATGTAACCGAATGGTCCATTGACTGCGAAGGTCAGGGTAGATAAAAATCTGACATAGCCTATTACAAATGTCTTGGAGAGGTGAACAAGTGTAACTGCAGAAAAGGCACTCATCAAAAATGTTTGCGTGTTGAGCTGTGAAAACGATGGAAAAGAGGTTTTGTTGTGTAGGCATGTAGAGAAACGTTTGGAGAGTTCAAAGAGACAATTCTAGGCGTGTTACCATAGTACAGGGCAATTACCTTGAAAAAAAAGATGATAGGGAGACTGCAGCTATTTAAGAAGGAGGTAACAAAATTTCTGTCTGAGTGAATGTTTGTCACAGGAATGCATAGGTGCTTGTCAATTGCTTTACATGTCATTGCTTCTCTAAAAGTATTTGCTCTATCAAAACTACATTTTATTGTGTTTATTATTTATTATTTCAATAGCCTTTTTGTTGTTAGTGCCTTGCCCAGTCCGTCTTCATTTCTGAGGCTCTTATTTACCACGTAGAAAGGAGAATCTAAAGACTGTGCGCAAGATGAAAAATGAACAAAAATTGACAGTGGCTTTTCCCGTGTTTTTGTTTAATATGTTGAGGCGTGACACAACAACAACAACAACAATAAAATCCTTGGCATGCTAGTGTAAGTTCACACCAGCCTGGCTTTTGCAGCCCTTTTATTTCCCTCTGCCGCAACTTTGCCGCTGCTATGACACTTGCAGGCCTGCTCGGCCGCGGTGCAGCTGATGCCCTGTCCATGCTCATATTTTTCTTATTGACAGTGAGTGTTCTTGCCAAACGCCAGGGACCATAGTCACATCTGTTTGTCTCCCAAGCTTGTCTGAGGCTGCTTGGGAACACTTTTTATCCAGAGGGCAGCTTTAACTAGGCCTAATACTCTGAAAAGCTTCTATTTGTAAATGCATACAATGAGGCGACAAGTTCCTGTTGTCTTTCCTTAAAAATTATTCCATTTGACACTGCTTGCTCCAGTCCCTGTCACCAGCACGTCAAAAGCCAAGTTTTCAGGCAAGGTGGTCTTAACAAGTTTTATTTTTTCCCTAATCAAATGCCTAGCTTCCCTCCAGAGCACTATTTATAAATGATAGCTGGAAGCAAGCTAGGGGTAAGTAGAGAGAAGTCAGGCAAATAGCTTTCTTCCCTTCTGTAATCCGCGCTCTTCTGATTTAATGCTAAGAAACATAATGCTGAACTTCGCCTGATTGAGGGTCAGAGTTCTCTCTACTTTATAATACCCCCATTAGAAGCATTTCAAAATGTACGGTGCCGCTTCAGAATAATACTTCATTTTGTCTAACCTGCCAGCTCCAGAGCAGCGATACTTCTTGTCCGATCCTCTTTAAACAAAAAAGGTTTCTTTGTTTTGCTGTGATCCACATTGACAGAGCATATCAAATGTTAAGACCTGGCAAAAGTAAATGCCACTTTAGAATCGCAAGTTGACTTAATGTTTGATGTTAGTGGCCATAAGCCTGGGTTTGACAAAGCTTAATTGGTGCTCCAGCATATTGTTATTTATTTGTGGCGTACAGCATTTTCGACGACAACAAAGAAGTACCCACTCTCACCTTGGCTGGTGATCGGGTTGTTGTGCTCGGCAAAGGCGAATGATTCATTTATGCTGAAGGAACAAGGCTGCCTTTCAGACGTTCATTGATTTTAAATTAAAAAGTAACTGCTATGTTCTACATGAAGGGTGACAACAATAACAAAGTAGTCCTTACTTAGTGTTATTTGTTGCAACTCCATTCGATGTGCCTGGAGGAAAAGTGGGGAGACCCCAGTACCATAATCTTACAGATCAATAATCTAGATATCTCAATGTAGTGTAACAGATAATCAATTCTGGGTAAAATAACTCAAACACTGCTAGCTCCTACTGCTGCAGCTCAGGTCTTCAGGTTCAATTGCCTGACTTTATTAATTTTTATCTTTCATCCTGCTTGTATTCCTGGAGACTGTCTCTCTTTTTCATTCGGAAGAGAAAACAGAGACTTGCACGCTCTGTAACATAGAATTTACCACACGACTTATTCTGCGTGTTTAATATCAAAGATACATGCATCTCAAATATTTTTTTCTCTGATAATTGTTTCCCCATATTGTATTTAAATATTAATTTTCTTTATTGTACAATTAATTATGGAAGAGATACGCTTCTTGATTTCTTTCTAAATTTAGAACTGAAATTTTACACTGTGCTAATATACTGGTTCAACTGTGTTCCATTTCTGGATGTTAAAATACGATGCAATTTCAACTTAGAAGAATTTCCTTGGAAGGAAAACGTCTGTTTTAAAACAAAGGGAATTCACTGAGTGTTGAAATAGGAGTTCACTAGGTGAAGCTAGAGTGCACATCTGTGTGAAACTTAGATTTCTTGGAATATTTTACTATTTAAATAAAAGCACTGTGGTACTTGTTAATTTACTGTAACTTTTTAGAGGTATGTAGAGGATTGTACGTTGTCATCTTTTTCATCAAGGTGGTGTTGTCACTATTTTACATTATTGAGCAGATGTGAGATCTCTCAACATTATATGACCATTTGTTATTCATTTAGAAGCAGCACAGCTTTAAAAACTTTATAAATGCAGTAAAGGATAAGTCATATATCCACACTGAAACAAGATCCTGTGAGTGACAGTGTGTTAGTGTGCTACAGTAGACTGTCACATGCAATTCTCAGCTTGTAATTTTGTCAAAATTCACTACATTTCTGTGGAAAGATTCACAGTTCTCAGTAACATTCATGGAGACATAGTAGAATTGTGGAGTTTAGAAATTACTGCTTTTCCCCCCCTTCTGTTCTAGTTCTTTCAAAAAAAAATGCCAATTACATATATTCCATTCTACAGGCACTGTACATTACTTTAAGAAAAATAATAGCTATAGTTGTCCTTTAAGATTATAATCCAAAATTCAATATTCCAAATTTACCCTTTCCTGTGGTACCTGACTTCTAATAGCTGGCTTTAATGCAGTAAGATTTGCTTGTTTGCCATCCTCTGCAGCTCCAGCAACTTTCCAGTCTCCAAGCGTAAGCTCATAATTGTTTAATGAGTGTACCAGATACTGTGCTTCTGCGTTATCATCCTCACAACTTGCCAGTGAATTAGAAGAGGACAAATTGCTGTGCTACAAGTTTATTTCATGTACCTTTGAAGAGTTTACTGTTTCACATTTTCTCATTCATTCTTCATCTTACCTTAAAAAAAAAATTGATAATACTTTTCATGTAAAAAATGTTGTTCTGACAGTCAGGCGTTACCAGCCAATTGATAACCTACCAACAGTATTGTGATCTCTTTAGATAATTAATCTTAGCTATTTTCCTGTCAGGAGCAACAGTGTTTTTGTTTTACGTTGAGCTAGAAGGATTGCCAGTTTTGAAAATTAAAAAGCATTCCCTTTATATTATTCATTCCAGTAACAATTTATGATGCTGCATTTAGATACTGAGCGCTTGTCAACAAACATAATTATGCTTCGATATAAACAAGATTGGTGGTTTGACTGCGCAGCTTCATCTTGCTTGAGAATGTTTTGATATAGGTTCAGATTATACAAGCTGTGTATTTCTGTGGCGATTTTCTTCCTTTGTTAATAGTTTTCTCCTATAATTACTTGCAGGCAAACCAGTGTACATTTAGGATCATTGTGCATGGGAGACATCAAACGGAGAAGGAAAGCTGCTCCCCTGCCAGGACCCACAGGTAACCAATTTCCCTGGGACAGAACACAAAACGCAAGATGTTAAATCTCTAAATACAAAGCAGTAGGTCAGTGACCTGGGGAAATGCTTGATAAATTCAGTAGCTTCCCATACAACTTCAGGTATGTCCTATCCTTATTTATTAATAGAGACAAAGAAAATTCTTCCTCAGACATTTCCGATTTCTAGTCCTTTGTAGCATGGCACTTCTTTAAAGAGAATAAATCTCTTTTCATATACTGAGAATCATAGACAGTAAAGATTACTGCTTGTGTCTGTTCAAGCATTGCAAGGTAGAAGACATGAGGTATCTTTTTTCCGTGAGGAATGCATATGAATACTATAAATATTCTGCAAAATAAAGATAGGACGTGAATTCTTGGGCAAACAATTGAAAATGTGGAGATAAGGCTGTGAAGCACAACTTTAAAATTAGTGCTGTAGATTAAATAGGAAGCACTTGCAAGTACATTTCTGAAAGATTTTTACAGATGCGAGGTCACAACGATTGGATGCATTTTGCTGATGTCACAGCTGTGAAATGACTTTTTCAATACTTAGCGGTGATTTATAGGACTCTCATCAGTTTGTTGTATTAATTATATATGTGCATACTGGAAGGATTAGATTGTGTGTGTGTGTGTGCACACCTATGTGAGCCTTTTTATATATTGCTAATATGGAAATCTTGATTGCATATCCTAGTCATATATCAATTACTATAGCAACATATGCAACACATACAGTTCTTCAAATATATTCTAAATATATGTCTTTAGAGAATCTTAATATTTGTATTCCAACTGAATTCCCCTTCCTGAAACTTCGTTGTTTCAAACCTCAGTGGCAGAAGCACACCAAGAATAATATTAAAAATGCTATTAAAGCACCTTAGTGGCAGCAGTATGGAAAAAGAGAATGTATGGGTCAGCTTCTAAGACTCTGAACATATGTGAAGTGAGAAAGAAAAATACTTAATGGCTGAAGAGAGAATAATATAATTATTTCTACAAGGTGATTTTCACTTCACAACTTTCAAGTACTAGAGGATGTCATTTTGTACTGAGAGGGTATGAAGTATCATGAAATTAATTTTATTATTCATTTTACCTTGGGCTTTCAGTGTTTCAGTATTTTATTTTACAAGCTGGCTCCTCTGCATAACTTTGCAAAGCCAATATTTTGATACTAAGGCAAATACATTATGTGATCATTCAATGTTATACATCTATATATTCACAATTTTAGAGATTTAGTTTTGCCCCCCAAATTTGCTGTTACATGGAGAGCAACAGAGAATAATGGTGGATAAAGGTTTCATGTGAGGTGCCTTTTAACTAATGTGTGGGATTTTTCTCTTCAAGTTCAAGGTAATCTTTTCAATTTTGTTCTGGGCAGAAGGACTAAAAAAATTTACTATGCTCTTATAAAGGTTTTTATTCTGCATTTCATAGTTGTAAGTTTTTAAACAAATCGAAACTTTGGTAAACTTGTGCATATGTGTAGATAATGTATAACATTTTATGTATTATTACAGTTTTCTCAAAGTCTAACCTTCCCACAGCTAAATTATTATTTATCCATCGCAGGCCGCCTTTGTTTGTCTTTGTCAGTATTTCGTACCATTTGATGAAAGAAACATGGTTTCCTTTTAGAATGGAAATACATTTTGAAGTTTGGATTAAAATGAAAGATTGCTATTTGATTATTCTCCTTTCAGTAGTTCTAGTTAGCTGAGATATAAGAACAGAAAGACTAGATTTTATGTAGAAGAATTTGTAAACTTTTTTCTTGAAAGAAAGGAAGGACAAAAATTGCATATATACATGAACAAAAGTTGGAAATGAAAAGAAGCATTCTGTCCATATTTAACATCATAGTGAAACCTGAAAGGCTGTCTGTAAATGAGTCATTAACTGGGAACATTTTCTTGAGCTATATGTGCTGTGAATTAGCGAAGTTTCACCTAATATGAACCAATCCATTGCTAAAATTATTTTCAAAGTTCTCCTCCGCATTTTTTGAATAAATTACATTGGTAGATTAATTTTTGTAGCACGACACAGTGTTGAAAATGGTCATTTATATGTTTACATTCAGTAGTACTGAAGAGAATGCCTGGTGATCCGAATGGAGTATCGAAACACGTTCTCTGGTTTTGAGTCTCACAAGGGTACCACCTGCTACTTTCAGAGATCTTACAAAGCCATAGAATTCTGTAGCCAGCAGTGTTATTGGTTAAACATTTATTAATTGTGACAAGAACACCCAATTTATTTCAGTACTCCAGCTTATTTACTGCTCTTTCACCTTTGTATTTTGTATTGAAAAAGTAAAATGAATATTGATAGAGTTAGATATTGATTTCTAAATTTATAGCCTGTTCTCAGCCTGGAGTCAAAGTCACATACCAATAGGTTTGTGTATATTAGTAACAAAGGATGTAGATTTACTTGTACAGCAACGAGAAACTATTGAAGCAAGAAAGTTTGAGCAGCACTGCGCATTTCACAGTTTCAAAAATGTAATTTGTAAAGGTGAAGAAAAGCTGTGTTGAAAAGCAATGAAGAAAATGGGAGATAATATAGGCATGGCTTGTTAGGAGCTAACAGTACTAAGACAGGAATGTCCTATTCTGCCTGTTTTACTAAGATAAATGTTCTGGTTTGTGGGTGCTTGATACAGCCCCATCTGTGTGTTACTGAACCTAGATAGCTAATTAGTTTATCAACTAAGGAAAGATACTAGTAAAAATCATTTACTTCCTATGCTTTCTTTTAAGAATAAGGTGTACATTGTAAATATCTACTTTTTTGCGCTGCTTCTTCCATGAAACCAATATTATTTCAGCGATTCTAGATAGATTTGGGACCAGGTCATTCTCAATGACTTTATGCCCTCTCTGGCTACCTGAGTGGTAGAGCTATTCCATGTGACACCCTGACATATTTCATCACAGCAATACAGTGCCCTCAAGTTTGTATAAAATCCTTTTAGGCAAACTAATACATTATCATGGAAATAGCCCTACAAAAACTGGGCCCACTATTAATGAAAATAATAACAAAAAGAAAAAAAAAATAAAGAGTTTGTATGCAAGAGAAAGGACACTCTCTGCAAAGTATCGTTACTACTTGAAACACATTCATTGGGAATGTTTACAGTAATTTCAGTTGTAGATTACCTATTTTAAGTCTCATATCAAACCAGTAGATGCTACAGAATTTCAGACATCATGTTCATACACTGAATAGAATATGCGTTTACCCCAATTCCTTTCCTATTGACTCTTCTGTACAAGCCTTTTTTCTCAATCAGCTCCTGTTAAATCCCCCAGACCTTTTAGATTCTTTTTCTTTTTTTTTTTTACAAGAAACCTCTAAATTGTAAATGTTGGAAAAAAAATGTCAAATGCTACAGGATCTCACATCTGCAGGATCTTAATAACTTCAGTTACAGAATGTAGAAAGTTTGATTCAGAACAAAAATATTTAAGTTTTACTTGTGTGCCTTGTAAGTAGCCATTTCTTTCTATTTCAAAACAATCTTTTTTGCTCTGATGTTTACATGGCATGTTTTATGTTTTGGAGCAGTGGTGAAAACCTGCAAAAATTTATTTTGAAAAGAGAAAGCTATTTTGTAGTTAAAATACAGAGAATGTACATATAAAATATAGAAATTATTGTGTGTGTTATGGGCACTTTAATACTTACATTTTGCAAAAGCAAATTTCAGATGTCATTTTCTTTATCTAGTTGGCATATTGCATGCTACAATTCAGGCTGGTACTGATTGAAATGACCAAGTTAAAAGTCTCATTTTAAAGAATGTGTTTTAATGAAAAATATGACAGATTCTTAATTACAGCAGAAATACTGAGCACTGCTATAATGCCATCATGACTCACTTTAACAAGGTAATCAAAAGGGTACATGTTTTCATTCCTTTTTAAAAATTGCCAACGGAACAGCTAAGCAAACTATTTTGCTGATGCTTAATATGTCAGTGATTAAAAATCCGACTTGAATATCTGCAGTACCGAAATGATGATTTGAAAAAGATTGTGATTACACTATGATAACAGAGGTGGCTGAGGCTAAGTTTGTGGTGAAGGTCAACTTAGTGAGATGGTTGCAGGGAAAGACTTTTGTGTACTTGGATGAACTGGCAGTAAATTTCAAAACTCTAGACAAACTATTATATGCCTACTTTCTTTTTAGCTTGATTCACTGCTTTTCATCTACTAAATGTACCACTCTGTATGCAGAAATCCTTTTTCACAATGCAATACAACATTGGCATGTGTTGTGAACACTTTCCCTTATTGCCTTGTGCCATTTCTTATCCTAAGTCTACAAAAGTCCTTTCTGGGGTACACAGCATACCTGCTTGATCATCCAGCCTGTGGATACTCTTTCTTTTATGGTTGGTTTCTGCAGCAGATTAAATTTTAGGTCCTGCTTTCTGTTTCTTCTTTTCTTTTTTTTTTTTTTTTTGGCTACCATATTGTTTCACTAAATCAGTTCAAAAATTAAAAGATTGCAGAGTGCCATTCACTATTGGAAACTGCTGTTTCCATGTTGACTTTTCACGTTGAGCCGAAGTCGTTGGTTCAAGCGAGACTCCTTATGTATAAACACCAGAGTAGCAAGGAGAGTTCAGTCGCAAACTTCAGAAGATCCACAATGCAGTAAGAACCAACCTTTTACTGGGAATTTGCTGATGGATTTCTTGTGATTTAGAGAGAAGACAGAATTCTTTAGGCTGTACACGCAGCCAATATAAAGTCAAGAAGAAACCTTCCTGTTGATAGAAGACAACTGTACCTGTCTTTTCTAAATGCTGTCACGTTCTGAAATATGGAAGGTTCAAAAATAATTCCCCAGATTACTCTGGCAGTCTTTCCTAACATAGCTGTTTCTTTCTGGTTGTGGAAAGCATTCAAATTGCCTCCACTGGGAACTGGACTTGGTGATCCTTATGGGTCCCTTCCAACTTGAG